CCTCGCATGCGTGTGGTTGTAGCTGTATTGTTATGTAGTCATGTTATATGCCCACTTATCCGGAAGAAACTTTGCAAAAAGCTCCTGATGACCATTGCTACCAAAACGAAACACAATTCTGACACCAAGCTGCTGAATGTGCTTGTAGCAAAAACACACCAACAGTGTAAGCGTTGCTTATGTGGAGCTAGCGAATCGATAACTTGTACTGGAAAGAATTCTGTATCCAATCTCTTTTTTTCGGCTTTTTATGAGCCAGAACAATTTCTCGGGGGGAATGAAATTCTGCAGCGGCAATGCAGAGAAATCGTTTGTTATACCAGACACGTTATAGCTTGTGCGTTTCACGAGTGCTTTCACCGCGGTAGCATCAGGGAGCTAGCCCACACATAGGCAAAGTACCCGGCTGACCCTGGTCATGGATCAGTTAGACGATTGTTTCACAGTAGCAGTAAACAAACCCAAACATGTACCCTTAGCTCCGCAAAACCTACTTCTGGTCTAACTGCAGCCTTTTCAGCCCAACTTTGCAGACACATACAACATCTCTCCAGTTAGCTTCAACTGTAGTGGCTACAATCAGGCAACATTATGATGAAACTGCCACATTGATGCTAACCAAAGTAACACAAGCATACCGATCAGAATTACTGCATATAAGTTGACCAGGAGCATTTTTTAAGTAGCACGGCACGCGAACTAACATGCAGTATCTAGTAACCGAGCGTTCTTAACAATGACAGAGACAAACGTTACCCTGCAATACAGGTTTTACTGACAGTAAGTTCCGTTACCATGAACAGTTGTACCAAGCATCCAAATTACAAACAAGTACAAAAAGTTTGCTTCAAATGAGGTTTTGTGTTCACACACCTTCTGTTGAATGTCTCCTTGATATTATTTACTCTTGCACATTTAGGACACGAACATTAGCAACAGTAACTTGGCTATGTTAGCTTCTTCCTTCAGGTTCCCTTTTCAGACTTCCACCTATCAAAACCAACAGATATAAACAGTCCTTTATTCCCACCGCTGTCTCCCTCAACTCTAAGAGGAAGAGGTAGCTAATTGCACAGCACTTTTTAATCACAGAGCACTTTATCAGCACAGTGTGATCATTTTTGTTAATTATTTATTGCTTTTAGAACTATTGCATTAGATTCCTTATACCTATTGTTTACTCAGTGTGTTTTTCACCTGTATTCAGTTTTTTTTTTTTTTTAATCTGGATTATCGACAAGTGTGTTTTATCTGCATTATCGTCATCTGTGTTTCATGTTGTGGGTTTTTTGTTTTTTAATGCTCCTCCACTGTTACTGTTGCAATTGAATTTCCCCATTGGGGGACAAATAAAGTTATTGAAGTTAGTGAAGTTGAAGTAGCCACAGTGCTACAGCCACATTCAACAGGCTATCACCTTAGGGAGGCTTATGCAGTAAAGCAAGATAAAATGGTAAAACTAACTTCTTCTGTGTCTGTCAGTCACGGACAGTTGGTACTGATCCAGGCTTTTTCTTCAGATATTTTACAAAGCCTGCGTTTGAGGCCAGTTGTTAGTGCTAACTATCGTTAGCGGTCCTGCTAGCCACCCGTAACATGTAAGCTTCACTTACATTATTCGCTGTCATTTCGTTACTTACAGCTTGGGGCTCCGAGCGCTTGATCGATGCAACTGCTCCAGGGTTGAGAAGCAGCTGAGATGCATATCCAGCATCAAATTATCCTTTATTGACAAAGCTGTCCTCGGTGATATGCCAAGCACAAACAGCTAACATTCCCTCTGAGTGTGGCTGTTTGCCGCCAGCAAACAAAAAAGCTACCCGCTGATTTCTGGTGTCATCGTCTTTTGGAAGAGAAAATAGTTGTGCTTTTTTTCGCATCCAAAAAAACATGTACAAACAGCTTTGGGAGACATACTGATAAATCTACACGTTAAATGATTCGGGCTCTTTTGTGTCTGATAGAATAAATTCCGGGGTGGGTAGGTCCAGCGCCGTGATTGGCTCTGGCCAGGTCTGTGCTGATTGGACGCAACAACCTGACGTCAGGTTTTGCCCAGATCTTGTGAAGATCTCGGGAGGAGCTGTTCAGAGAGGAAATCCCGTTCAGGAAATCACGTTCTCGGATTATGGCAAAACCCCTGCATCTTATGTTTAGAAACTTTACAGAGGTTGAGTATGGACATCCAACATGGTAACATTACTTGTGTGTATTAAAAGAAGGATCAGCATAATAGGGGGCCTTTAATGTTTAAATCCATTTGAATGCAACTATTCATATTGTGTTGCCTGAATTATAGTCATTGATCATTTGGCTTTTCATCATTTCACTTTTTAAATGTATAACCGAATTAACATGGAAAATTGCGAATCTGATTGTAAGGTTGAGGTCAGCTGCAATGGACTGGATGGATGGGAATGAGGGATTGGTGAGTTTTGGACCCATCAATTAAAGATGGCGTCTAACTGCGGCTCCCCAGAGATCAGGAGGCTGAGGCTGTAGATTAGGGAGCGCTGCACTCCTGAGCTGAATTTAGCCCTGCAGTCTGAGACAAAGGGCCGTCTGACTCCATGCTGTCTGACTGCCTGTACGTCTGAGCCTGTCGGTTTGAATGATATGGGCGGGAATATTATATTGTGGAAAAAGAGTTCTGTTTTCTTGAAGAGATGGAAGGTGGAACAGGGCGTGGAAATGGAGCGGGCTCATTTTTCTCAGAGCTGACTGTATTTCTGTTACGATGCTAAATGAACTGTTCCAGGCTAGTTTTGCAGGGGGTTCAGGCCAGGGTTTAAATGTTCAGGGCATAGTGACAAATGTTTGTGAAATGCACTGTACAAATAAAATTTGGTTAGATTTGATTTAGTACTTAATATAATTGATGTATTTAATGCTGTTGCCTCAGATCATCAGCACAGGAAGAGAAATGGAAGGTTTTGTACGAGGCAGATGTGCCCCATATCTAGTCCTGCTCTGTGGACTTCGGTCTCTGCTGTTCACCCGCAGCCTGACTGCGCCATCACCTGTTCTTTTGCACAGATTCGGCCTTTGTACGGTCCACACACTGCTCTCTGCGACTCTGTAAAGGAAGCGCCATATCTTTTTGTTAACCCTCTGTCTTTATACTGATCTCTCTTCTGATCTGGTACACTTTCTTCCCTCTCTCTGTGCTGATCTCTCTCCTGATCTGCACCTTCATCCCTCTTTCTGCTGAGCTCACTCCTGATCTACACCCTCATCCCTCTCTCTGCTGAACTCTCCTGATCTACAGCTTCATCCCTCTCTCCGTGCTGGTCTCTCTCCTGATCTACACCTTCATCCCCCGCCCTGTGCCGATCTCTCTGCTGATTTACATCTTCATCCCTCCCTCTTTGCTAATCTCTCTCCTGATCTATACCTTCATCCCTCTCTCTGTGCTGATCTCTCTCCTGATCTACACCTTCATCCCTCTCTGTGCTGATCTCTATCCTGATCTACACCTTCATCCCTCTCTGTGCTGATCTCTCTCCTGATCTACACCTTCATCCCTCTCTCTGTGCTGATCTCTCTCCTGATCTACACTTTCATCCCTCTCTCTGTGCTGATCTCTCTCCTGATCTACACCTTCATCCCTCTCTTTGTGCTGATCTCTCTCCTGATCTACACTTTCATTCCTCTGTGTCGATCTCTCCTAATCTACACCGTCATCCCTTTCTCTGCTGATCTCTCCCGATATACACCTTCATCCCTCTCTTTGTGCTGATCTCTTTCCTGATATAAACGTTCATCCCTCTCTCTGTGCTGATCTCTCTTCTGATCCACACCATCATCCCTCTCTCTGTGCTGATCTCTCTTCTGATCCACACCATCATCCCTCTATCTGTGCTGATATCTCCTCTGATCCACACCATCATCCCTCTCTCTGTGCTGATCTCTCTTCTGATCCACACCATCATCCCTCTCTCTGTGCTGATCTCTCTTTGGATCTACACTTTCATCCCTCTCTCTGTGCTGATCTCTCTCTGGATCTACACCATCATCCCTCTATCTGTGCTGATCTCTCTCTGGATCTACACCATCATCCCTCTATCTGTGCTGATCTCTCTCTGGATCTACACCATCATCCCTCTATCTGTGCTGATCTCTCTCTGGATCTACACCATCATCCCCCTCTCTCTGTGCTGATCTCTCTCTGGATCTACACCATCATCCCTCTATCTGTGCTGATCTCTCTCTGGATCTACACCATCATCCCTCTATCTGTGCTGATCTCTCTCTGGATCTACACCATCATCCCTCTATCTGTGCTGATCTCTCTCTGGATCTACGCCTTCATCTGTGATCTCTCCTCCTGATCTACTGCTTCATCCCTCTCACCTCCTGCTCAATCAGCAACTGTGAGTCACACTGACTGAAAAGATAGGCCTTGATCTCTCTCTCTCTCTCTCTCTCTCTCTCATAATGGTGCTCTGCCGTTTCTCTCTCCAGCTGAGTGTTTGATCTTGATTTGCAGTTTCACAGTGGACACCCCGCGACCATGCAGAGATGGCAGGTAGGCAGAGTAACCGAAGCCGACCTCTTTGCCTCATTTACACGCTTGTGTAAAACGCAGTTTGACACCTATTCAGGCTCTCTGCTCCGAGCGCAGTTTGGGCATCACCTGATTGTGCTCTCTGCTCAGAGTGTGGTTTAAACGTCACTGGATCGTGCTCTCTGCTCAGAGTGTGGTTTAAATGTCACCTGATCGTGCTCTCTGCTCAGTGTGGTTGAAACGTCACATGATCACGCCCTCTGCTCAGAGGGCGGTTTTTACGTCACCTGATAATGCGCTCTGCTCAGCGCGGTTTGGACATCACCTGATCCAGGCCTTAATTTTGCAAATCTTTTCATGAGCGATTTGCTGTTCGCGTAAATACAGAACCATGTAACCCTTCGTTATGTTACGCAAAATAAAGTTTGTGTAACCGGTCGTTTGAGTCATCAGTTATACAAAAATGAAAGGTTTCAGTTTATGCTGCAGTGGAGACGTGGTGGCGCAGTGGTTAAGCGTTCTTGACTTGGGACTGAAAAGTCCTGAGTTCAAGTCCTTGCCACGGCTTTCCCGCTGTGTTCTTGGGCAAAAACACTTCACTCCCGCAGTGCCTCATTGTGCCTCATCAGTGCCAGGTGTATAATTGGGTACCAGAAAATTGTCAGGGAAACCTGACTAAGAGCCTGCAGTTACTGTACCTACCCTGCCCCCCTTTTAACCCCTCAGCCCGAAAATTCGGGCTGTGGGGTATTGTCGTCACGCGCCGTGTCCGTCCGTCCGTCCGTCCATCCACAGTTGCATTCCGCGCATTAAGTCAAAAATGCCATTGCCGATCAACGCTATTTTTGGTATGGGTGTTAGGGGGTGGGTAGCTACACAAGCCTATCGATTTTCGTTGCACTCCGATATCTAATATGGCTGCCACGGCTGCCATCTTGAATTTGCATTCCGTGCATTAAGTCAAAAATGCCATTGCCGATCAACGCCATTTTTGGTGTGGGTGTTGGGAGTGGGTAGCTACAGAAGCCTATCGAATTTCGTTGTGCTCCGATGTCTAATATGGCTGCCACGGCTGCCATCTTGAATTTGCATTCCGCGCATTAAGTCAAAAACGCCATTGCTGATCAACACCATTTTTGGTGTGGGTGTTGGGAGTGGGTAGCTACGGAAGCCTATCGATTTTCGTTGCGCTGCGATGTCTAATCTGGCTGCCATCTTGAATTTGCATTTTGTGCATTAAGTCAAAAACGCCATTGCCGATCAACGCCATTTTTGGTGTGGGTGTTGGGAGTGGGTAGCTACAGAAGCCTATCGATTTTCGTTGTGCTCCTATATCTAATATGGCTGCCACGGCTGCCATCTTGAATTTGCATTTCGTGTATTAAGTCAAAAACGCCATTGCTGATCAACGCCATTTTTGGTGTGGGTGTTGGGAGTGGGTAGCTACAGAAGCCTATCGATTTTCGTTGTGCTCCAATGTCTAATATGGCTGCCATGGCTGCCATCTTGAATTTGCATCCACGGCTGAGGGTGAAAGCCGCTTTGCGGGGCTAATTTTTCTGGAGTTACCTGGAAACTTCTAACGTCTCCCCAAGCTATGATATTGTTAGCCTCATAGCATAATTCCCTCTCCTATTTTTAAGGTTTTTTTTAATTATTATTATTAATTAGGAGAATGGATTTTTATTTTTTTTTTTTTTAAGGTTTTGAGGAAAAAAGGGAAAAAAAGCATTTTTTCGCCAACAGGAAAGAACAGGTAGCCAGTATGTCAATTTGGCATAAGTATGACTAATGCTATGAGGCTAATGATATGATAAAATCAAACCCCTTTGCCACAGTTGTTGATTACTGGTTAAAACTCTGACCTGTCAGTAGCCTAGGTTTGTCATCTATGGTAATGGCCAGTCCTGACGATCTGAATGACCAAGCTGTGCGACGATCTCGTCTCTTGTAATGTTCAGAATACTCCACATATACATTAGTTAAATTATGAAAACTGTCCAAACTGACGAACACAAGCAACTTTCAAACTTTTGACGCGAATACATTGGTAAATGAAACCCCAAAAGACGTATCCGTGAACCTAGACTGATATTTTCGATGTCTGTATTTTTATAACCTTATATGAAAGTATGAAATAAGCATTGCTGTTCCGCTGTCCAGTCTTCAAAAGAAAGCATGAACAATCAGCACTTAGCACTTAATTGATGAAGTAAAGCAGATGATTACACGCTTAACTCATCTCACCTGGTGTCTACGGTTTAAATCGGGTGGAGAAAACCAAACTCACACACCCTGTGGCTCTCCAGGACCAGGGCTTGCTACCCCTGCCCTATAAACTTTTATCTTTACTTTGTACCTCTACTTTGTCTGCATTACAACTATGCTAAATGTCCAACTACATTGACAAATCTTGGTTTCCGCGTAGACTGCTGTCACAACCTGCATGTCTGTTCAATTGGCTCTAGGAGTCTTGTGGGTAGTTCCTGGTAATTGATTGATTGGCTTATTATTCCCTTAGTGCAGGAGTACAGCTAACAGCACAGGGTGTGCCGAGTTTGGTTTTCTCCACCCTGTTTAAACCTAGGACACCAGTAGAGATGAGTTAAGCGTGTAATCAACTGCTTTCATTCATCAATTAAGTGCTGAGTAACGTCAAAAACCAGCAGACGCTGCGGCTCTCCAGGACCGGGGTTGACTACCGCTGGTCTAACACATGTACTTAGTCAGACGTTATCTAAGTAAATTACTTAGCCAAAATTGTGCGCTGAAAGCATCCCGTGGTGTAGAAATGCAGGGCTGTGCACACAGTGGCGGAGCTAAAACTGGGAACTGGGGGGACACAGGCACGTCTCTTTATGACGGCAATTAGTCCTGGCTAGTTGTCAATCATTTTCCTTCATTGACTTGTTTTCCAATTATTGTAATTGACAATTGAAGACAGGGTTTCTCTCTCTGATTGAATAATAACTGATCCACGTTCCAGCGAAATATCGCCTCTCACTCTCGGTACTGCGTGGGTTGATAGAAAAGTGGCACTTGGCAATTAACCCATTTAAACCTGGAGAGCATGTGCGCATTTCAAGAACGTGTTGTTGCCGACACAGATATGCGCGTAATTTTGAAAGTACCGTGATTACTGTAAGTTTTACGCAATAGAAAAAAATTCCAACTGTTCCTGAAAGCTGAGAAGCTGTGCTTCAGCCCAAATACAGGTTACGATCTGCTGGGATTTTTGCATTAGGCCTTAAAGGGTTAAATATAAAAAGTGTGCGACTCAAGCCATGTCTTTGAGAGTCGACAGGTGCGCAATTTTGAATAACGCTGATTTAATGCAGCAAATAGGTGTCCCGATAAATGATTGTCGTCTTACCTAATCAGGGACAACTAGCAGCACCTGATTAGTGTGGAGGGCTCTCGGAGTGAATCTTGTGTTAATTATGAAAATGACTGAGAACAGGACAGGACTAATAATTGTTTTAAACGGATGTTCTGTGACCCCCAATTCCCAGTTCTGGCTCCACCACTGTGTGCACAGCCTATCCACGGGCGCGATTGGATGGTTGGTATTGCCCCTGGGGGCGATGTAGTCCTCCATCAACTGAGTTAGGCGCAGGATCCCTTCCCTGTTGAAACAATATTTTTTGATAAGTTCTGTATCATTGTACGCGTCGATTGGATGTAAACATTGGTTAGCCATATGCTGACGAATTTCGCGTTGATGGTTGAATTGAAGATGGAGGAGAGCAGCCATGATGATACGTCTTGTTCCGACGAATGAGTCTTTGAGAATAGTATTGTACTTAAGTGTCCAATCTGGACAAGTCAAAATACTTACTTAGTTTTACGCACTTGAATACCAAAAATACTTACGTGGATTTTTACTTGGTTTGACTGAGAACTTCACTTAGAATAAGTAAAATTCTCAATCAAAAACTTAGCAAAATACTTAGCCAAAAGTTTGGTTGAATTCCAACTTCGACCAATTTTTACTTAAGTACAGCACTATGTTTAAGTATAGAATTGAATACCAGCCCAGGTTTTGTCACTGGGTGCTTTGGTTTTTTCCTGTTGAGTAAGGTGAGGGGAAGGGGAGGCCACGTTGGTGAAAGATAGCCCTGCCTTCACCCCTCAGTGGAGTTGCTCGGGGACGGCTGTGTGGCCTACCCACTTTTTTTGCATGTACACTACTGTGGAAGCATTTTTAGCCCCCCAGCACCCGAAGTGTTCGTCAGTGCATCCGTCCGGATGCATTACTCTGAAACTATATGCAGCAGCCTTACCATTTTACACTGACGCTATGACCTTTGCCAGAGCTTCTTTCTTTTTGTGACTTCTGAACTTAAACCTTTCAGCAATGACCTCTACCACTGTTTTCTGTTGATCTCCGACCCTGTTGATAGTGACCTTTAGAAATTGTTGGTGTAGGTTGGCTGAATCCTCTAGTGGTGCTTTTTGAATGTTTCGTTGACCTGTGACCTTTGGCCTTTTTCGGTACGATCTTGACCTCATCGTGCAATTTTGACGTTTCAGAGAAATCATCAGATCCTTTAAGGTGGCACATAAAAAATAACCAAGGTTAGGTCAAGGACGCCAACGCAATTATTAAAATTGACCTACGGGTTCTACAGGACATTTTGTGTGACAATTGAATTCCGACCTTGACCTCCATTCAGTTTCTGCAGAACATCTCCCAAACTGCTTGCAGTGACCTTTCAAAAATGCCTTTTTTACCCAACTCGTTGCAGAGCTGGCGATAAGCGGTATCGCATTGCAAAATGCCATCAGTTTTTTTGAAATGTGCCAATCTGCGACGGGCTTTTGAAGTCCCCATCGCATATTTTGCGAAACAGTCTTCAGATAATGTGAATAAAAGTTTTTGTCCAGTTTTGAACAAAAACGGGCTCCTACAGTCTCTTAATATCGTCCTGATCGGCCTCCATCACCGCACTATGGATAATCTAACGGCGCTACTCTGAAACCATGGTAGTGAATGGAATGACCCCATTATTTTCCTGTCTCCGTGCCAGTCCCGCCCACAGAGCGAAAGAAAACAAAGGAGTGGACAACGTCATTGGCTGGACCAACCGCAAAACGTGAGATGCGTCTGCCATCTTGTGTAAGGAATCGGCGGGGGAATTGCGCAATTAAATGCTGTACGTGTGTGTATGCGACTAGATAAATTGAAATGAAAAACACTGGACTGGTGTCACGCATCAGCCTATGAGCACGACCATTATTTAATAAATTATTATTTTGTTTACGGGTGTTTGTTGTCAGGAAATTCTTAATAATGAGTTAAAATTTAAAAAAAAAAATTTAAATTAACTGTAAATGTATATAAAAGAGTTGTATATTTATGTCTGAGGAATGCTGTTTTCATATTTTGAACACATGTACATTTGTATTTGTACCTTGAATTCTTGTAGTGCTCTTTATTCTAGATTATGACCATTTTTATTTTAATAATTAAATGTTCATCTTGGTTCATAATAATTACCAGAATTAATTTCTTTAACAGTAAAAATATTTACGATAAAAATCTGTCCTGAATACTCACTCATTCA